ACACACACACACACACACACACACACACACACACACACACACACACAGCTGAGGGACCTTTTAATGAATGCTTTCACCACGTCACCCTCACATAAAAATACACACAATCACACGTTGCAAGCTAAGCTGCTCTGCTGAAAGTCCCACAAGGATCAAAGAGTCTATTTGGATCAGTGCAACACACACACACACACACACACACACACACACACACGCACACACACACACACGCACACGCGCAACGGATGTTGATGACTCATCAAAGACCTATTAATCCCCATAAAGGATGTGATTTATTGAGGCACACAGAGTGCTCACAGTCTCAGTTTTCTGCAGGTGTTCTCAGCAGCTCAGTCTCATTATAAAAACATTGAAGCCTACTTCCTGTTGTAATGCTATGTCTCCGCTTTACACAGTCATCAATAAAGTTAAGTGACTACAATGAAAATCAATCAAGAGTTAAAACTACAACAGCTCCGACCTGGACCAGGATACGAATAGCTTTGCGTCTCAGAGTCAGACCCCAATATTTTCAATTACATTTTGGTATTCGCATATTTCTTTTTTTATTTATTTCTTTTTTTGGGGGGGGGGGGGGGGGTTGTGCCTCAGGATTACAAAATGATTCCTTTTCATTAAATATTTTTAAAGACTCATGTAGTCATCGTGAAGCCATTTTATTCAACACAGAAAAACCTGGTCACGGCGATCCCATCGCGCCCTGGGGAAAATGCAACAAGTTCACCAACTCATCCATTGATTTGGACCAGAACGAACCAACTAAAGGTTTTTAAAAAAAAGCCACTCAACATGGCAAGCTGGTCTTCATGTGTAAAATCACAGCCCGTCTAATATTTGAGCTGTGACAAAGCAGAAGACCAGAAAACAACTCGTCTCTATGAGTTCAATATCCAGTCAGTCAAATTAAAATGACTAAAATCAATTTCAATTTTTTTCCAAACAAAAGTTCAGAACTGGGTGAACAGTTTACAGCATCAGTGGTACGACGCCCCGCCGAGCTGATCTCTGATCAGCAGCAGCTCTGTCTGCGGGGGTCTGATCACACCGAGCACACGATGCTGTTTCACCCCAACACATTTCTAAAGACATTAACAGGAAAAAAACATCTGACGCTGTAAGCAGAGAAATGAGCCGCATTGTACAACAACATATGTATTCCTCTGCTGTTTAGAACAAGACCAGATTTAAAAGTACAATAAAAACAAACAATGAAGCCGGTTAAAAAGCAGAAACCTCTTTCCGTGCTTAAATCATCTTTAAAGGAGACTCAACAGAAGCAATTCTGCCTCAATAATGATTTCACCAATAATTACCAAAAGCGGGTGACTTCCCCATCTCTTACCTTAGCAGAGGCAGACAAACATGTTTACAGCTTCAAATTGATCCACAAACAAACAACAACAAAAGAATGAAGAGAAAACGTTGGAGCCACTGAGAGGTAAAGCCAAGGAGAGGGACTGAGAGAGGGACGCTCCGTCGGCCTTTTGACCAATCCGGCCTCCCACAGACGGTGATGTCACGGCATGATGTCACAAGGTGAATCACACGAGGAAGTGGGGAAACACCGCGGCCGACACTCGAAACAAACACACACACACTCACAGACTCTCTCTGTGTAAGCAATAGGAACACTACATCCAATCCCTGAACACACGAAGACACACAAGTGTTTATCGTGTCTGCTGGGGGACTCACTCACACACACACACACACACACACACACACACACACACAAAAAAAACAGAATCTCAGCCTAAAAATCACATTTAAATCTTAAGATAGCCTTGTTAAAAACAACCGGACAGTCACAATATAAATCTTTGTCTCTCTCCAACTCACACACACGCACACATACACACGCCCACAGACTGTGGGGACGAGACAGCAGAGGTCTCGTATTTCAGACGCTGCTGTCAGTTTCAGCTGAGCCCTGTTATCAAACAAACCCACACTGTCTGCTACATGACACACACACACACACACACACACACACACATCTTCTACAAACGATCACCACAGGGTGAGTGGAGTGAGTTTCACCACAGTCGGAGGGTTTTCCCAGTGAACCGCAGAGACTGCATCAAGGATGAACGTTGTGTGACCAATGAATCGGCTGATGTGTATCAGTCAGCCCCCGACCACTGGGGGGGGGGGGAGATCACTGATCAACTATAGTCTGTTTCACCCAGGCGACAACCTCTGGTCCTGAAAAGGGAAGCCAATGCTAAGTGCCTTAAAACTTCATTCTCTCTAATGGCCAGCAGGGGGCGACTCCTCTGGTTGTATAGAAGTCTATGAGAAAATTACTAATTCTCACTTGATTTATTACCTCAGTAAACATTGTAAACATGAGTTTATGGTCTCAATCTCTAGTTTCAAGTCATCTTTAATACAGCATGTTGTTCATTTAGTAACTTATGGTCCATTTAGAGTCAAATAGACCATAAAGCAGAGTATGCTTTAGGGCGGGGCTACTATGATTGACAGGTCGCTACCAGAGCCGTATACGCTGTCTCTACTCCTCCACATTCCAAAAATGGTCATTGGTTGAAAAAATGGCAAGATGGCGACGGCCACTACGCCAAACTCAAGGCTTTAAAAGCGTCAGTCCACAAACCAATAGGTCATGACGACTACGTGCTCTTCCTATATACAGTCTCTATAATTACATCACTAATCCATATCAGTATGGGCCTCAAAAGCTCCAGTATCAGTTGGGCTGTAATGGACATGAGAATGGGACCATCTCTGATAAACTGTAAAACAACAAACAATAAAATAGTGCGAATGGAATATAAAACGTATTTCACACAGGATTTGCTGAAATATTATTATTTTGTGCTTCTTATCTGTCAGTCAACAAAACAAGATATTTGGAAATTGTGATTGGCATCTTCATAATTGTCTCCCTAATTGACCGACAAATGGAAAAAAAATCATAAAAAATATACACAAAACAGAAAAGTAACATGATAATGCAAGAAAACATGGCGAAGCCACATCAGCCAGCAACAAACACACACACACACACACAACAATATGAGGAAGGAAAAAAGACTTAAAGTCACAGCAAAAAGATTAATTTAGAGTTCAAGATGAGTCCTCAAAAACATCAAAACGTTTGACAGGAAGCATATTAAAAGGAAATGAAAAAAACACCTAGTATTTACCTTTTGGAATATTCTGACAATCATCGAAATCCGTAACGTTTCAATTCAGTCTGAATGCCAGAACAGTAAGAAAGAAAAAGGTACAAACCTTCAAACACAAGCTGACAAACAGTCTCCGTTTACTGTGTGCAGAGACAGACAGGAGACACCCTGTCTCATCACACACAGTATGTTCAGTGTAGTGTTTAGGACTGTGTGTGTGGGTGACTGATGAAAAAATATCAGTGTCAGAGATCCTATATGATATCTAGAATGACACACACACACAGTGATTACAGCGCCTCTCAGTGAGTCACAAATTGTCAGCGCTGCCAGTTTCTCTGACCCACATTACTGCAGCAGCTCGGACTCCATTTGTTACTTAATCTAACGACTGGATCTAAAAGCGTTTACTGAGGCCCTGTCCACACTACTCCGTTTCTATTTGGATGCGGATTTGTCAAATACAAACGATCTCCGTCCACACGGGAGTTTCAGCATCATTCTCGAGTTGATCTGCGTCCACATGGTAGCCTTCGAAGGCGGACAGCACGTGACAAATTAACGTACACTGGGCATGCGCGTGACGGTGTAAACAGGAAGTGGATTGCTTGCTTAGTTAAAAAAAAAATACGACAGAGTAATAAAGTAGTCTTTAATAATGAAAGGTTGTATTTGATACTTAAGATCTTCCTCTAAAATCTCCCTCTATAAACTCAAACAGACAGTTCGTGGAAAGTTTTATTTTTCAGACGTAGTTACAGCGCTGCGGGTCTATCTCTCTCTCTCTCTCTCACATCAAATTTACTTTAAAATCAACACTTACACGTAAACGTTTACTAGAATATGGGTCCATAAATGTGGTCAACACACGTCTCTCACTCTATTCTGCTCTTGCTTCGTGCAGGGAAGCTTGGCAGATCGCTAACAGTAGATCCGTGAAATAAAGACCATGGAATCCATAGAAGAGTTTCAAGACTTCGGTGTGAATCTTTCTTATTTGTAAAACTGTGGAAACACAATATGAAATATGGCTTTACAAACTGTCCCTATACACATACATGAATACAAAACAACAATCCATGATATAGCCAGCATGTAACATGTCCGCCTAGCTAGCTTCTAAGCTAATTTTAACATTACCGCCAATGGAGAAATACTAACCGCGATTAGCATTTAATACAACACAAATGTTATACTAAACACGCGAATAGAATATATCTACGTACATCTTTTCATGCTTCATAAAGACATACTTACAGACTAAGGTCTCTCAAGGCTACCAAACGGAAGAAGTAAAACGTTAGTGCAGCGTGTCTTCTCATTCGAATCTAAAAACAACGAGCTGCTCCATAGGGCTGATGCCGGTCACGCCGCTCGCTAATCCCTCCAATAACAGCTGCTTCCTCCACAGAAATGCAGACTTTTACTGCACAACAGCGGCTAGCTGCTGCTAGCTGTTGTGCTAGCAGCAACATCATGTAGCTGTTGTGCTAGAAGCAACAATTGCAATTAGTTATCCATGTTGAAATGAATCGCTGGTAGCCCAGTTTGTTTTCTTCCGGGTACGGGTCACGTGATAGTGAGTGTGACGAATCAGGGACGGAGACGTCATGGTTGCCAAGAACCAATCCAGTAGCGAACACGGGTGTGGGCGTAATTTTTTCTAAGCACATCCGTATCCGACCGTACACACGCAAACGCAACCCCAGAGTTCTCAAACACCTCCAACCTCAGGGGAGTTTTCAGACTCCTCCGTTTAGGATGCTCCAAAACTCCGGCGTAGTGTGGCCGCTCAGTGTAAACGTAGCAAATACGGAGTAATGTGGACAGGGCATGATTATTTGGCCACTTGGGAAGCATGCACATTAAGCCAAAAACACAACAGCTGACTTCATCATAGAAATGCAACAGACCCGGAGCGACATTACCGTCCCACCGTCGTCTTTGTGTCCACCTGATGAAGGTGAAGTCTAGATATTCTCTCTCTTTTAGCTCCGTTTTTGGTCTCCACCGACTCCTGAGGGAAGAAAAACTGTCTCTTAAGCTGCTAAATGTTCCACTATGTTCACCACTTACTCTCTAACTGTGTCTGCTGAATGCTGTTGTTGCCGATAGTGTCTAGATAGTCTTGATCTCGGTCCTAGTCCTTTAATATTGGGTACAGAGTCCGATCCAGTTACGCACATTGACCTAAATGGTGATTAATTCCCTGACACACTGAAATAACAGCTGGAGCTACTAACTCTCACGAGCTACTTGATCCAAGTACTGAAGGTGCTGGTTGAAAACTAGGACATTTTTAGTGGAGCCTCTTCCCTCACAATTGGTCTGAAGAAGCGCAAAGTGCTGCACCACTGGCAGGCTGAGGTGGGAGAACCAACAAGTGGAAGGACTGACTGTGCCTGGATCGGCCCGATAGCGATCGATAGGATCGCCTCGTTGATGAAAGTGGAGGTAAGGGCCAAAAACACACAAAAAAACCATCCCCCCTTTTCACTGATCCATACCAACAATAAATGTATTGATCACTCAGTTCATATTCTCTCTCGTGTCTTCATCACAACAGCAAGCTTATAAATCGGATATCAACACATTACTGCTGCTGCGATAGAGGCGAAGCCCCGCCCCTTACTGTGTCACATGTGGACCCTTATTTCGGAAAAAAAAAAGGACAGTAGTCGAAAGCGAAATACAAGTATGAACACTGTAGTTTTGTGTTAAACCGATTCGTGAACTGCATCTCCCGTCTCGCACAACGTGGGTCACAGACACAGCCGTCAGCTTAGCTTGCTAGCTAGCTGGCTAACTTAGCTATGTTCCACGCGCAAATTTAACGTTATCTTACCTGATGCGTTATATCATGCGACTCTTTTTATCGGCCGGGAACCGAAAGAACGAGTGAAAGACCCGCTGTTGGTGTGAGAACGTCCCGGTACTAAACATAGAGGCACCGTAGCTTCAGAGAGACACTTTCTAATTACACAGTCTCACAGCCTTATACTTCAACAGTTTTACGACACAATGTGACTTTCTTGATGTGCAAAATGACCTTTGAAATTGAAAAACATGTGTTGTGGCGAATCAGCTCATTCAGAGTTACCATTCGTGGCACAATTCAAACAGGATCAAATAACCATTTGTACTGTACATCATTTATCTGAAATAAGGTTTTGTGGGGGGTCAACCCATACATCTCAACATATCAATATCTCTCTGAAATGTACCCGTAGTCCACACTGCTGCCAGTATGTATAGAAGAATGTGTGTGTTGTTCTCCTAATTAGACCATGAGTCACATGATCACTATGAAATACGCACAAGAGGCCGTGAGTCAAACGATACAAAACAGCACCCGTTATCTCCACCTCTCTCTATTTCTCTTGCAAATGCAACATAAGTCAATCAAACAGAGATAATACTTTCAAAATACACATCTAACAACCACACACACACACACACACACACACACACACACACACACACACAGATGCTGTATAAGTTCATATCCATGTACAGAGACTTACATTATACACGCACACACACACACACACACACACACACACATCAAGAGAGAGTTGCCGTTTAACAGCAGCACTTCCTGGAAACGCCATGTCAGCCTCTGCAGCCATGTTTACTGGAAGAAGTCTTCACACACACACACACACAGAGAACAATCAGTGCACACATCACCTCTCACACACACACACACACACACACACATTAGTGCATGTCACTGCGTTTTAAAAATACAGCAGTCTTCACTCTCTCCTGCTCTGCCCCTCTTTCATCCCGCTGTCGAGAGAGAAAACCTGACATGTTTCCTGCAGTGGTTTGGATCTCTGTAGCGTGAGCTGGCTCTCATAATTACACCCAGTTTAACAAGATACACCTGCAACTGGTCAACAGTGTGATTATTTAAGTTTTGATAATGAATAAAGAGGGCCATGTGTTTAATATGAAAGCTCAGGCAGCATGACTAAAGATACCAGAACCACTGAGCCTTTTCATGTGAATCAAGGTCTTTTACTGAAATGCTTAGAGTGAATTTGAGTTCCCTTTGGTACAGAGCGTAAACGTCTTGGGCTTTTATTTTGAAAGGTAAGAACAGA